ATAATTAACTATGCACACATTAGACACACACACAAACACAGGACAACCCACACACATTTAGCATCTTTACAATGACTAAATGACTTATCTAGGGAACAGGACTGAAAATAATTGCTTAATTAACAATAAAGCATGACAGCTCTACTTTTTTGGGTTCAGATGTAACGGTGGCAAACTCCCACCATCAGGTATCTTTCCTTCATCTATCCTGTTTTTGTCAATGCTGCATTGGAAACAGCAACACAAAGTGCCAGGTCACTCCTTGCACCCTCTGAGGACTGAGCAGAGAACAAAATTTACATTTCCCTTTTCAATACTTTTCAAGGCCAAAGTAAGAGCCAGAGAACCAAAAAAACAACAATCCACTGTTTTGCTCACTGCTCAATTTCTGCAGTAAGAACAGTATCAGAACCGTTCCCACAGGTCAGACAGAGGAGTCAATATCTAGTAGCTGAAGCCTTATAAGTAGTACTGACTGCTTATTGTGTCCATATTATGTCTTCTAAAAACTGTTTATCCACAGCACAACAAATTTGCATTAACAAAGACAATTGTAGGAAATACAGTGAATTTGGTTTTGAGTTATATATCTTGACTATTTTATGGATTACAAGGAAATCTGCAACAGATATTCAAGGTAGTAGGTAGCAGCCGACTTTTCTTTTAGCGTCATCTAGAGACAAACTCCTCAGCCTCGGCTTCTGAACTACAATGGTGAACCATGTTTGCATGGTGACGTTAGCATCTAGCTCAACACCACTGTGCTTGCAGTACAGTCTCACAAAGCTGCTAGTATGGATGTGACGTGTACTATGGATGTGTAAATGTTCATTTCTGCAAAATATTCACTGCTCCTAATGCAAGATTGACATATTAATGGTTTTGTCTAAGGATACACGAAGCACTTGGTTGATGTTCAGAGAAGATTGTTGTAAATACTGAAACCGCTGTAATCGCTGACTTAAAGCCTTTAACTTAAGGGAGACACTTTTCCTACAGTAAATGAATTATATGCAAGTAATTACTTTTTCTTTTAATGTATTTTGCAAAGTAAATTGGTTGTAAATTTTGTTGGAGACACAGGTTCAGTTTACATCACTTACATTTCATCACCAAGTAGGTTTGATGTTCCAATTTTACAGTGTAACTTGTGTCAAACTAAATGTTTCACAATTGTTCAATAACAAAGGGCATGTGCAACAGTAAAACAGTGAAAATTAAGTGATATCACTGGTCTTTAATTATATAAAATAAAACTAGTTAGATGTGAATGCCAGATCATTTGCTGGCAGAGAAAACCCCTTACTGAACTGAGCCACTCTTTGGTAGTGGGAGTTCCTGATGATATCCAGAAATTTGTGTTGTATATACAAACATTCTCCATGGGTAGAAAACACACTAATCCTCAAGCTCAAATCCCCTCTGACCAGATGTTGCAGCTTAGGGGACAGATAGGGCAAAAATGAATGGCTATCACATGCTCCCTAATGAAGGGATTGAGCGGGTCACGCTCCCATAGTGTCTGGGAGGTCATCCATGTTCTGCTGTGATTCAGTGGGATCAAATCCCAGTCTAATTTATGCTGTCAC